AAATTGATTATAGTATAAAGTCTAAATCTAATACTTAAATTTAACTCAATTTATTATAGTTTGATAAAAAATTGATTGTATAGTATAAAGTCTAAATCTAAAATTTAAGAAAATTTATTTAAAAAAAAGGAAAGAATTAAAAAATATTGATGTTTGCGATGATCCTTTTCAAAAATTAGCTCAATTTATTTAAAATTCACAAAACTTTAATGCGCTTGTTTCACGTTTACACTTGCTAATAACATATTGATATTTATCCCAAATATTAAAAAATGAGTCGCCAAACATTTTTTCTTAATCCTAAATTTAATAAAAAGCCAATATATGATTTACTAGCTAATAAATATCAGAAGTTCACAAATGCTTATGTGTACAGTGTTATGGTAAAAATAAGTAACTATACTCCTAACCGTGCTGTTATTTGTCAAGAGACTATAAACGAGTAGAATAAAATAAAGAAAAAGAGCGTTGTTGATATTGATAGTGTAATTCGGGACTATATGGCCACACTACTTAATCTATATGACATATAGTCAATGAGATATAAACGTTCTGCGTCTTTGGAAAAATTGAATCCTTTTTCTCCCTCTTCTTCTACCATTCATTCAGTACCAGAAATTTCTGCTAATGCTTCGACTCAAAGAAGGATAGCAGATGCAATTGAAATAGCTGAAAAAAAAATCTACGAATTTGAGCAGATTTACAATATTACGAGTGATGCTTAAATTCGTGATCAAATGTACTAAAAAATAGAAAGCTTGCGGAATGAAGTCAAATCTAACAAAAATAAAATTGACAAGTTAAAAAAAAATAAAAAAAATGCCAAATATGCCCAAAATTGTAAAGAAAAAAAATTGAGACAACTTATCGAAAATAAAGAGGTTGTCCGCTATGATAAATCTGAAAGGTCACTGCTTCTCTTCAAGCATCCAGATTTGCATGAACAAATACATGATTGTATAGAATTTGGATTGGCTGATGCAAAATGACGGAAGGAGGCTATCATAGTTTGGACAATAGAAAATTTGCGTAAAAACCTTGAAGAAAAGTACGAAATTTACATGGCGAGAACTACATTGAAAAGTTACCTTTTATCTCATCAGTCAAACTCGATCGCTGTGAAAGCTTATCATCATCCAGCGTGGGTCACGGTCGCTGGAGTTTCGCATACAGAAATGCATGAGCATCCTGACAGCCATTATTGCCTTGCATCAGTAAAATATGCAAAGCAATTCGCTAGCACTTTTGCTGATGTGTCAGTTGTTATTTTTTAAGACGACAAGGTAAAGATCAGGTTTAGAGTACCTGCAGTAGGTCATACATTCCATACATTACAATCCGTTAATAAACTCGCAACTGTAGCAGACCATGATTTTCTTATGGGATCTGGACAAAAATTAATTTCATCAGTATATTTGATGATAAATCCAAATGAATCTAATGACGAATTGTGAACAAGAACGTTAGCGATTTTATACGTTTCTAATGGTCTCTTGATATATTTTCGCTTACGCATATACAAGATCTGAAAAGTCTTATTTTGAATCCTCAATATAATGATATGCTGAAAACGAATGGAACAATTCGACCAATATGGATTTTATTGGTGGACGGAAGGCCAGATGAGAATCCCAGACATTTAAAAAATATAAAATCCTATTGTCAACTTTTTAAAAAGTTCGATTTGAATTTTTTAAGTGTACGAACCTATGCATCTGGTCAATCAAAGTACATCTGGTTGAGAGAGGCATGGTAACATTGTCTGGTAAACTCGCTGGTATTACTTTGCCAATTGACCATTTTGGTATGCATTTGAATTCACAGGGCAAAGTTATAGATCCAGAATTAGCCACTCAAAATTTTCGCTATTCAGGAGAAGCTTTTTATGAAATTTGGCGTTGTGATTTGATTTTTGGGAAGAAGGTCGATGCTTGTTATGTCAATGTACTCATGAATCCATTTGAGCACATACAATTCAAGGAACGGAAAGAGAAAAGGTTGAAGAATTAAAAGGGAGGAAAAAAGAACAAAAAAAATCAAATGATACAAATAAAGAAATAATACATATCTATTCTGAATGTTTTGTACCATGATTCTGAATTGAAACTCACTGTAATTTGTGTACCTATTCTCTTGATATTAAACGATGCACGAATGCCAGTTGCTGTAGATCACCCAGAGCTGAAGAAGCCATGGATTTTCTTCAACTGCATAATGGCTTTTTACCACCAGTTACCAAAGCTAAAGATGGACGATTCATAAACCCGATTCATCTTCTTCAGTATGGAGATCTTTTGAAAGTACCAGGTTATGATGCCCATTGTACGTCTATTGAAAAAAATACATACTTATGACTTTGCTGCTCTGTTTGTCAGAAATATTTTTCCACTCTCACATTCTTAACAAATCATAAACGATTAATGTATCTTACTACCCGAGAATGACCTAAGAAACAGAAAAACTCATCTTTCGACAATCTTTCTCTCCTCCCATCTCAACAAAAGAGATCATATGATGAAATAGAATTTGAACCAAGAGCTTGTAATTCAAATGGAGAATAAATAAATTTATAAAAAGCATTTACGTGTATATACGTGTATATGTATGTATGCTTTATTGATCTATAAAATAAATGCATAATTAACAAATTTTGCTAAGCCACTTTTATCGAATTATTATCACGTGATTAAGACTATCACATAACCATATTATTATGTGTAACCTAAGATCTTCATTATCCCCCACCCCTTAAAATATTAGGTAATTTCTGACAGTATCCTAATTTATAATATTGCAAAAGATATGTTGTGAATTATTTTGAGCTTAAAATGAAATTTACCTATGATGTATATCCTAAAATTAATTGTGAATAAAAAACACATGCTGATTTAGAAAAATTAATTGGTCATGATCTTTATACAAATTTTTTAGATTCTTAACCACTGATTCATATGTATATAAAAATAAAAATCTTGATCTAGAGATACAAAGAATATATAATAAAGATAGAGATAGTTTTAGAGAATAGTTATGAAATATTTAAGCAAAAAGTAAATTTAAATAATGAACAGAAAATAGGTACAGTATTTTGTGTAAAAAACTATGAAACTGCAAGACATCAGGATAAGGATAGATCAGAATTTGCAATAGGATTTATTTATAAAATTGGTGTAGTTAAAGAAGGGTATTACATTTATTCTGAATATAATATTACTATTAAATGATATTAAATTCAATATGGTGTAATTAACGTAAACTATATATGATATAGCTAAACTTAATTTAAGTGAAGGTGGTGTTTGATACATTAGTACAATTACTTTAACTAAAAAACTGCTAAAGCAATAGAAAAAGAAGCAGGTATTATGAAAATTTAGATTTTTTAATTAATTTTATAATAATTTTATTTTTTTATATATTTTATCAATAAAAGAATCATTAAAATAAAGGTCTAATTATACTGATTTAATATTTAATTATCTTATCAATAAAAAAATAATTAACTCTATGCATTTTTAATAAAATTTAAAATTTATAATTTAAATTAATAAAATAAATTTCAATTATTAATTATTAATACATTTCAACTATTTCAATTATTATAATATACTGTATAATTTTTATAGTTTTAAAATATTAATTTATTAATAATACTATTTCAAATCAAGTTGAGTCAAGTCGAGTTTAAGTTAAGTTTGAGTTAAGTTTAAATCGAGTTGAGTTAAATATTTAACTTGACTTGAATTTGGTATGACTCACAAATTATCAAGTCAAAAAAATATAAATTTGATTTGATTTAAATTTGACTTGACTCATCTGACTCGTGAGTTAACTCAATTCATTCAGAACTCTATTTCTAATAAAGACTGTGCAAAGCTATTACACATTAAAAGGAATAAAAATTTTTAATCTAGTAATATATTTTTATATTTAAATTATTTATTATATTTATATATTAAAATCAATATATAAATCTTCTTAAAATTTACTAAACTGTTTCTTTTAAAAATTATAAAACCTTTTTAAGAAGTAAACAAAAGAAAAATTTAGAAATATTACATACTTTTAAATAAACATAAAATTAAAGCTTAAATAAGTATATAAATCTACCAGTAGAAATCCATCACATACCATATAACCTTTGACCTAATATTGATAATCTTGTTAAATTAAATTAATTACCAAACATTTTGCTTCGTAATACAAATGCTCACTTTGCTTTTGGCCAATTAAAGAAAGGGAAGGTCACACAAACTTTCATATAACCGGGAATAAAAAATTAAAAAAAAAAGTAAACAGAAAAATTTCGACCTCCATATCATACTTTCTTTTATTTTTTTACAACCTATGCCTTTAAACTACGTAAGCATCTGCATCGCTTTATATGACTATACAGCTCAAACCGATGATGAGCTTTCTTTTCATGAAGACGATGTTCTTTATATACTAGAAAATGACGAAGAAGATTGGTGGAAAGCGAAATTAAAGAGCGCCAACACCGAAGGTGAACACCTGATCGGACTTGTTCCTCGTAATTATATTCAGGAAGTATGTCATTTAATTTGTCCCGTTGCTTACAGATCCTACTTTAATGTTAACTTACTTAGAAATCTACGTGTGAATCTTAATTAGGCTGAATGTACTGCTGTTTTAAGAGCTCTTTGGGATTTTGAGGCTAGTTCGGAAGAAGAGATTTCATTTAAAGAGGATGATATGTTAAATTTATATGAAGAAGCTGAGGATGGTTGGTTTTTGGTCAAATTTAACGATGTATTCGGTATGATTCCTCCAAATTATGTTGAAAAGGTAAGTCAATTCAATTTTTTTTTTAAAAAAAAAAATATATTTCATTCCTTTCGGATTTTGACAAGGGTTTTATTAAATATAGGTATCTGTGGACTCTATTGATCAGTATGCACAAGAAGAAAATTATGAAGAAGAAGAAGAAGATAAAGAAAATCAGACAAATAAAGCAAAACCAGTATCATTATTTGACGCTTTGTCAGTAAGTATAAATAACATTGTTCCGGAGTTCTAATTTAATTATCATTGATATTTATATAGTTCTTTTTTTCATCTGTAATTGTAGAGCGCGAATAATACATATGTTGATCCATTAAAATTATATGCTGTAAAAGCCGCTCGTCCAAAAGCTGGATCATCAGTAAATGAAAGCAAAACTTGGTCTGTCACGGTAAATTTAATTGACTTTAGCAATATAAATCCAAATTGTCACATTTTCATAAAAAGCATTTGTATTTTAAAAAATAAAATTTCTTAGGAACTTGTTGGTGATAAGAAAAAACAAAAGAAGAAAGGTACTTTGGCGATTGGTAATGGTAAAGTCATTTTTGCCAGTGAGTCTGATAAGGTAATGATTGATTATTTTAATTTTCATTTCGATAAGTCATAAATTCATTCTATAAATTATATATTTAGGCGCCTGTTCGCCAGTGGGAAATTAATGATATTACAGATATTAATAAAGATAAAAAAAATATTTCATTCATATTTGGAGGTTCTAAGGGAGGAACAATTGATTTTCATGCCAATAAAAATATTATTATGGAAATTTTTCAAAAAGCGGAAGATTGTCGTGCTAGTATAGAAATTCCTACAGTGAAGGTGGATAATGCATCAATCAGATCAAGTATAGTTAGCCCTACATCAACTTCTTCTTCACGTCCTTCATCAACTCATAAATCGATAGTGTATGAAGAGCCTCAAGGATATGAGAATGATGAACAAGATATATCAAATTCATATAATAACGTTCCTGAGATTACTGTAGAAGAGAATGATGTAGAAGAAAATGAATTTTTGTCACCTAAATTTGGTGTAGCACTATATGATTTTGATGCTCAAGGAGACGATGAAGTTTCAATTCGTGAAGGCGATGAATTATGGGTTATTGATGATGTTAGCAGTGAAGAATGGTGGAAGATTAAAAAAGGAGATGAAGAAGGGGTTGTACCCGCTTCTTTTATTGAGGCGAGTGTTATTATTAAGCTAATTTAATTTATTATCAAAGATTATAACAATTTATTTATTTATTGTTATTTTTTATATAATCAGTTACGTAGTGAAGAGGACAATGAGGCTGAGATGGCTGCACAAGTTGCAGCCGCTGAAGCAGCCGCTGAAGCAGAACGTCAACAATTCGAAAAAGAGGAACGTATTAAACGTGAAGAAGAAAGAAGGCGTCGTCAACGTGACGACGAAGAACGTAAACGACGTGAAGCAGAAAAACGTGTTCTAGAGGAGAAGAAACGAAAAGAAGCTCAATCACAGCTAGCACCCCCTCCTCCAATTTTACCAAGTATGATTCATATTTGATAAAAAATGTATATTATTACATTACTTTACATTGCATTAATTAGATTTTTACAGATCGACCAATTCGGGCGAATCCCTCTTTAGGTATATTTGTTTAGTATTATTTGGGCTCTTGCAGCGTCTGAAATTTTGTCATAGAATTAATTATTGTTAAGAAACCAGCCCATTCAATTAGGAGTTTTGCGTCGGTAAGGTTGCATTATAATGCGCAAAACCTTATCGGCACAATTGATCCTATTTATGAACCTCCTTTCGTCTTGGTGTCATTATTGTTGAAAGTACCCGTAATTTATAACGACATTTATTAAAAAATTTTTTTTCTTATGACATTCAGAAGAAGCAGCTGTGAAAAAAATTCTAACGCCTGCAAACCGCGCATTGCCTGAACGACCAGCGCAAGCTCAATCTAAATCCAGTATGTTTTTATGTTAGATGTATAAATAATGTATTCAGGATTTCAATAGTATTGATTATTCTTTTGTTCTAAAGAACCAATTCCGTCAAATACAAGGACTTGGACTGATCGAACAGGTTCTTTTAAAGTTGAAGCACAATTCTTAGAATTAATCGATGGCAAAGTACACCTTCACAAACTTAATGGTGTTAAGATTGCTGTTCCTGTCGATAAAATGAGCAAAGAAGATCTTGCTTACCTTGAGGAAGTAACAGGAGAGAAAGTTTATGATAAGAATGATGATACCCCACTAGCTGCTATTGCCGCTGCGTATAAAGGCAAGGCGAGATTATCAAATAATTACGCGATTGATTATGATTGGTATGATTTCTTCCTTCATGCTGATGTCTCACATGAGGATGCATTCGAGTATGCTAAAAAGTTTCTCGCAGAGAAGATGGATGAGAGTTCGATTCCTGATCTCAATCGTGATGTCATGAAGGGACTTGGTATCAAGGAGGGGGATATTATCAGGATTAAGAAATACATAGATCAAAGGTATAATTTTGGGAAAAAGAGAAACGTTAGTTTTGGTTCAACTAGTGTCATTCCTGATGATATAGATATACAATCGAAGAGCAAACAGAGTGCAAGAAAATCACAGGTTCAAGATATTCCTTTTTTGTTTTAAATGCTTTTTATATATATAATATATTATATTTATTAGTTTTAATTATTTTGATTTTATGTAGCCTGAGGATATTCAAAAAGCGCAACAGCTTTTGGAATTTGATATGAAAATACAATTGAAGCGTGATGAACAATTGGCTAGGGAACTTCAAGAAGAGGAGAACAGAATAGCTCGAAGTGAAGGTCGTCAAATTCCGAAGGCTGCTGATCTATATAGTAATTTAGATTCGATTATACAGAAAGAAGAGAAAAAGACACTAACAACAACACCACAACTTTTTGCTGCCAATAATGGCGTGTTAAAAAATAATACAAAGAAGGCTCGCCCCCAACCCACAAAGGCAGCATCAATTCAGATTGATGCTACAACTCTTGCTAATTCTAAAGGATCATTTGATGATGCTTTTAAGTCATCTTCAACGACATCAACAGAAAGCAAATTTGATGATGATGCATGGGTTTCTAAAGATTTAACGCCACCTTTAGTACCTACAGTAAAAACGTCAGCGCCTCCCACGCCACCTCCACCACCTCCACCTCCTTCAATTCCTCAAGCTCCACCCTCTATCCCTTTTCGTTCTTCCAATTTATCTTCCATTAACCTTTCTTTAAATAGTTCAACTCCCCCCGTAAATCAAAATCAAATATCATTACACCTTCCATCTACAATACCCAGCTCAAATACAATGGGACAACTTAGCTGGCATTCAAATAATATGAACTTCCAACCATCACAACCAAATCAGGTTCACGCTCCTACTCCTCCACCAGTTCCCCCACCACCGCCATCTCAATCCATTGTTCCTTTGAATAGTTTGCTTCATCAACCTTTAATTCCTGCAAAACCAGCTAGTTTGAATACAAATAATAATATTCAAGGAAATAATATGATGAATATTCAAAGATCAAATTCCACGGGTAGTTTTCAAGGGATGGGAACAGGAAATTTATCCGGACCTGTTGTCAGTAATTTTAATTCCTCTATAAATACTTGGAGTTCTGCGAGTAAGTTAAATTTATTATTTTATCGTTTTATTTGTAATTATTGTGTTTACTTAAAACTAATAAAATAATAAAAATTCCAGGTCTAACGACATCTACGTTAACAAATTCTACTTCAGGATACAATTTATCAAATGTTAATCAAATTCATTCCACATCAAATCAATTACGGCCGCAATCATTCAATAGCAACAATAATTTAATTAATCCTTCATTTAATCAACAATCATCAAATCAATTTCAGCAACTTCAATCTCAACAATCATCAAATCAATTTCAGCAACTTCAATCTCAGCAATCATCAAATCAATTACAGCAACTTCAATCTCAGCAATCAAAATTCGATCCTCAGAATGTATTTGCTTCAATGAAAAATGGTCAATTTGGACCAATTGCACCATCAAGTAACTTTAATGCTAATGGTATCTATATATATTTATCATTGAAGAATAACAAGTATTACACGTTAATAACATAATTGAATATTTTTCTATTTATAGTTTCGCAAGATAAATATTCTGCTTTGAAACAGGTGGATCCTAACGCTCCGAGTGTCTTCAGCAATTCGAATTCATCAAGTAATTAAAAAAAACAATTTCATCATTTCGTGTTTAATTCCAGTAATTTACTCATGAAGTCAAATATTTTTAGATGGATTGGGTTTTGGTCAAAAACAAGGCGGATTTATTAATTCCAATCAGACAAACTGGAGTCAAAATAATCTTGGGTTCCCTCAACAAACTTCTAATTTTGGGATGAGCGGACAGAATTCTGGTTTTGGTGGACAACCAAATCAAATGGGATTAAATCCGCAAGTATTCAATCCGAATCAGGGAGTAAATATTAATCCCGGAACGAATCAAGGATTTGTACCCAATCAAAATTTCAATATTAATCAACAGCACCCTGGAAGACAGGTAATGTAATGATGTATTATGATAAATTAATTAGTTAAATAAAGCAATCCATTAATATTGTGCTTTTAACAGTGGTAATTGCAAATTACCTGGACAGGTTTGTGAATTATTCGGAAAATTTATTTATATTTTATTTATCAAATATTAGAATGTTTTTATATTATAAATTGGGATTTATTTAAGCATTTTTGGCTGTTGCAATAGCAATTGTAATAATATTTATATAACTTTTGTCAATTATATTTATATGTCAATTATATTTATAATAATTACATTTTTTAAATTTCAAAAATTAGAAAATTATTCAAATTATTCAATACTTAAATTATTTACAATAAAACAATAAACAATCATATTTGTTTTATTTATTTAAAAAGTTGAAGTTATTAAATTTTTTTTTTTTTTTTGTTTTTAAAAAAAAATGAAGGGAAGTCTAAATAATTTAATTTATTAAATTGCGGCATTATGTACAGCTTGAGCACGTCCTGAAGGATCTTCGGGGCAACCTGATTGAAAATGGTTTTAAAAGAGAAAGTAAGTATTGTACAATGTAATGACGAAAATATACATTGATTCCATAAGGAAAAATTACCCCAATCTGCTCTTGGAATCCATCTTTCAACACTATCAGTACATGCTTCTTCAGGGAACCAACTTTCGAATTGTTCTCTATACCAATATGCTTCTTTGGAAGTTGGCGTATCTTTTGCCCAAACGTTAGCAGCGTTAGCCAATTGTTCATCAGTGACGTGCTGTTCAGCAGTCTCTTTGAGAGTGTCAATCCAACTATATCCTACACCATCAGAGAATTGTTCTTTTTGACGCCAAAGAACTGACTCTGGAAGATAAGGACGCACATCTCCAGTTGTTGACACATCAAAAGCTTTCCTGAGAATGTACTACATATAAAGGAAAAAAACATATTCGATTATATATACGTAATGAAGTGTATGCATAAATTTGAATTAAATTTACCTTCTCCATTCTCCCTTCTTTAAATAATTTTTCTTCAGGATCAATGGACATAGCCACATCAAGGAATGTTTTATCTAAGAATGGTACACGAGCTTCTAGACCCCAAGCCATTGTGGACTTGTTAGCACGCAAACAATCAGCAGTATGAAGCTTTTTAACACGCGAAACTGTTTCTTTGTGGAAATCTGCAGCAGATGGCGCAGCATGAAAGTATAAATAACCTAAAAAGATTATAAAATAATTAATAAATGTGATATAATCAAAGATTTAATTTATCAATTCTATAAATACCTCCTAGAATTTCATCACTTCCTTCACCACTTAAAACCATCTTAACTCCCATGGCCTTAATCTTTCTCGATAGTAAGTACATTGGGGTACTTGCCCTAATTGTTGTTACATCATATGTTTCCAAATGATGAATAACATCATGAACTGCATCGAGACCTTCTTGAAGCGTAAAGGTAAATTCATGATGTATAGTATCTAAAAATTCTGCTACAGAACGTGCAGCTATTAAGTCAGGCGACCCTGGAAGACCAATAGAAAAAGAATGAAGCTTTTGCCAAGTGGTAACTCCTCCTATAAAACAATATTACCACTTACTTAGAAATTTGAATTAAATGTTTGAAAGAAAAAAAAAGAAAATAATAGGACATTTTGCAAAAGAATCCTTGCAAGGAATTTTTATCAAGTATTGTATGTAATACACAACAAATTACTCAGGTATAATATATCACATGATTGTAATGTTCCTGGCACGGTTTCCCAGCAAATACCTGTAACACTTACGATCATCTTCAAATCCATTTTGGGTAGCAGCTAATTTGGCAGCTTCCCTTGTTGCAATAGAAGCTATTAAACTGGAATCCAATCCTCCACTTAATAAAACACCATATGGTACATCACTCATTAATCTTTTGCGAACAGCATTTTCCAAAGATTCTCTTAAGTAAGTATAATTAATAGGGTTTTTTGGTATTACTTCTCCATCCCACCATGATGGTTTATAATATCTTGTTGTCTCGCCAGTTAAGCTGTCATAAATATGACCAGGTGGAA